TATATATATATAATACCATCGAATGAAATTTATTGAAAATAAGTGAGATTTATTAAATAAAAAAATATGATTTACAAATTTTTTTGATAAAAAGATTAATGGATTCGGTCTATACATTCGTGTATATAAAGAAAAAAATTATTGAAAAATATCAGTCCCTTAAAAATTTGTATTTTAAGAGATTAATTCTTAAATTTATATATTCAAATATAATATTTATTAATATATAATTTATTTTAATTTTTAGTTACATATAAATATTTAACTTGTATATTCTACAAGTTAAAATATTAGTTAATAATAAGAAGAAAAATATTATCATTGATTATTAGTTCATTAATCAAATATATAAAATATTACCTCTATTTTTTTATATATATAAGAAATAAATACTTAATTTATTGATACTAATAAATACAGTTAAATTAGTTAATTGTGATTACTAGTGTTAATTTGGCGGTTGGATGGAGGAGAGGGAGAGCATTTAGGGTAAAAGTGAGAGGACTTATGTTCCATCATGATTTTTTTTTGGTAGTTTTTCTTATGAATAAAAATAAATTAGTTAATTATAATTAATAATGTCATAATTTAAAATTTTATTTCAAAAGTACAGTACCCATAAAGTTAAATAGTATTGGTGCTAGTTATGTTTAATGATACTACTCATAAGTCAAATAATTTTTCCAACTAATGAATACAACTTATAACGTTAGTGGTAAATAAATACATTTATTTCATAGAAAATGAGTAAAAAACTCATTAACAAACTCATAATAAATTAAAGATATAAAAGACAATTGCCAATTAATATATGGATTTAATGGTGATGCACTATAATTTTTTTTTTACATAATCATTCAATAATAAATTATTGTTTATGACTTTTTAGATGATTATTGTAAAAGTCAATTTACTTATCATTTATGATAAATTATTTTATTATAATTTTTTTTTTTGAGATGATTATTGAATGACTATACAAAATTATTTTATGCAATTAATATACCACCATTGAACTCTTAATATATTTAAAACTATATTCATATTTCTTATAATCAAGACCAACACAGATTCATTTTTTCTTATACAAGAACGGGGAGCAGTAGTATATAAATTGATTCATATTCTTTTATGTTGTTGAATAATGACAAACATTTTAGAGAAGGAAAAAATACAACTTTTATGAAATATAATTATTGAATCCTACAATCCATCATGATGAAACCTATTTAATTGATTTTTTTTTTTAACTTAACAACATGAAACGATTTACCTTTATATACAAATTGCATGGTTGGAAAATACGTGAAGTATACACTAGAACATGTCAAATGCATACGAATTACCTATCTTAAAATATATTAATGTTATGTACCCATAATTTTATTTTACCCTTCTTAACGTCATTGCTTTTAAATAATAAAACAATATATGCATTCTCAGTGTGTTTGGTATTCTGCTGATGTTGCATGTTACCAGTAAAAATTGCATCAAAATTTGCTTAAAGACGCAGAAGCTAAATATTTGCTTGTCACGGTGTGGATACATTTCGAAGTGAAGGAAAACCCACTCTAATCTAAAGATATTGGTTCAATATTGGTGTGAACAACAAACATCATTTGTTCCTTGAGGTTTTGGTTTGAACCTGTGAATAGAACTGATATTTTGCTTAAGTCAAAATGATTAGAACAGAATCAACTCTATATATAAACAAGTAACAAAAATTCGGTCAGTTAATCACAAAAATTAATTGACCTGAATGACAGTTGCAAAACTTTAATACCTAAAAGCTAGTTGAAAATCTATTCCCTAAAGCTATATCTAGCATTCAACTTTGATAAGTGTATTTGGAACATTGATGGGCAACGATTTATACTGGAACCAATCCTTGGTACAAATAAGGGCCTCAAGAGTCAAAGAATCTAATGAACTCCGGTAGCTATCCATTTTTCTAATTTCAGTATCAAAAACAGAATCTGCTGAGAGGGTGGATACTGGCATACACAAAATATCAGATGCCAGTCTAGACAATGTTGGGTACTTGAATCCGTTTATTCTCCACCAGCTCAGAATATCGAATTCTTGTACTCTGGGTTCTAAAGGCTCTTCAAGATACTCATCCAGTTCTGACTTAAATTGCTGGTTACATGTTAAATCAGATATATAAAGTTCAATATCAGAAAGTCCATCTTCAGCAGCAAAAAGAGATCCATCAAATGACCCATCCGGAAATAACTCTGCCTTTATCACAGCATCATTCCCTTCATCGTCATTTGTTGCTGTAAAAGGAAGCACTTGTATGATATTATATTCAAGGAACAGTTCATTAAGACCATTCTCAACAATTCTTATCCAATGGTCAGCATTCTCACCAAATATCTTAACAAAGGTGGATTCCACCAGTTTCATTTTATACCTCGGATCCATAACTACAGCAACCGCCAAGATGAAGCAGCTTTCTTTCCAATATAGATCAAACTTCTCTCGCAAAGGCATAATCAAACGACTACAGAAAGGATCATGGCTTAAGGCTGCACAAGTCAACTCTACCTGAAGCTTTGACACTTCAAGGAAAAATACATTCGCAGTTGGGTATGGTTGAACAGTTAAAATGTTAGCTGCATCATACAAGAACTTTAAATATGCGCAAAGAGTTTCCACCTGCTTCCATTCATCCAATGTCACAGTCATTCTGAAATCAGGATCAGCGGCATCAAAGCATGCAAAAACTTCCTTTAATTCACAAGCAGCAACAAGCATAAGGTAAATTGTGTCCCATTTATTTCGGTCATCAATTAAAAGGTCCATCATACTAGGGACTTGAAGTTGTTGCCTCAGCTCAAAAAACTTCCTTTCATTAGATTTAGAAGATTTCACATACTTCACACTCTCCCGAACTTTATCAATAGTTTCTCTCATAGCTGATAGTGCATCTGATACAAGGCGACTAATTACACGAGCATAACAGTTCTGACTTAAAAATTGACCACTGAGAACCACAGGATTCTTGAAAGAGAGGAGACTTCTCAGATTTTCCATCAATGTCTCATTGGAGAAGAATTTATCAAGTGCAAGAGTAAATAGCCGCCCCTTCAAATGCCAATCACTTAAGCAGTTCACTATAGCTTGATTTAAGGAACAGCCGGAATCAGGAAATGGTACCATGAATACATTTAGAATAGGATGATGTAAATTCCAATTACCATCAACGAAGTGTCCTCGAAGGAAAACAAAGGCCGATGTTTGGTTTGAAGTCCATAAGTCCAGAGTGAGGTTGACTCGTCCAGGAATCCCATCAATAAGATTCAGTAGGTTTTGCTTCTCTCTGAGGTACATACCAACACAATTCCCTTGAATAGCATTAAAGCTCAGTGGATTGAACTGGGGTTGAAGTGTTCGAACAAAATCAATGAAACCTTGGTGTTCAACTATATGAAGGGGATAGTCATGTAAAATAATCATTTTAGCAATATTACTGTTGCAACGCTCCTGATCAAATGAGATAGCTAAGCAAGGTTTTGCTCTAGGCCGTTTCTTTGGTGGACTGACATCAGTTTTGGAACAGGGGGTTTGTTGATTTTTCTGACAGATTCCCAGAGAAATGTGTCTCTTGAGATGACTAGTGCCAGCCTGTTTTGAATCTTTTAGATATGCAAATGACTTTTTGCATTTTTTACAGTAAGCCTTGGCACATCCAGGTCCATCACTTTTCACAGTGAAGTGTTCCCAGACGGTAGATTTCTTTCTCCTCCTGCTATTTTGTTGTGTTTCTGTATCAGGCATATTAAATTCCATGAAAGAAAAGCGGATTGAATCCTACAAAACAAATGAGAACAGATCATTAGAAGAGAGTAAATAAAAAGTGATTGAACTTGAACCATTATAACATTACTTATGTGCTAAGAAAGCAGGTGGTCTTGTACCAATAGTAATATATAAGTAACAAGGCAAGGCAAATAGACTAATACATAACAAAAGAAGAAGCTGGTGGTCCTGAGCATAGTTATCAATCACAAATAGTAGTGTACTGGCTAACTCTGAAAACACCATAGTGGGATATCTCCATGTGGGATGACTGCTTTTTTAAATATTACAAAACAAACTAAGTATTACATACACGCACCAGCATGCACACACACAAAGAAAGCCCAAAATCAAAGAAATTCATGATAATTAATAAATTAATAAATAAATAAATAAAACACAATTTACACACACAATTATCATCAATATAGACATAGACTTGTAAAGTTCAAAGGAACAGAATTTTTTTGTGGAATGATCAAGGAACAATGGTTTCAAATCCTATTATGTTTCAAATCTGCCAATCACTTTGGTAAATGAAAATTGCTGATAAACCCTAACTTGTTTTTTAATAGAACTATGTAAAGAAGATACGACTTTAACAAATTTGTTAAAACACTAACCTGATAACACACTCTTTATCGTAAACAAGGGAAATACTCGGACCAATTTTTGGTAAACAGGGGCAAAATGCACTGTCAAAAAAATCTTTTTACTTAAACCTAATAACCTAAATAATCCAAATAAGATTGAAGGGTGAGAATTGACTCTTCCCACGCTCTCACCAAATGCTATACATTTTCCAACAAGAATGGAATGATTACAGTGGACGCAAATATTTTACAAAGAAGAAAATAAAAAACAGAGCGATATACAATACACAAACCCGTTACACGAAATCATCAGAGACATCCAAAAGCGAATTCAATCACATTGACACTAAAAGTAACAGCATTTAATTGTTTAGAAAAAAACACAAACAGAAAGAGGGAAAATTATACATGCATAATCGATAAAGAAAAAACCTTTATGGCGGCCACGAATGTGAAGAGAAGACTGAGACGGTGACAATGAAAGAATGAACGTTGTGGAAGCGCCACTTACTACTGAGTCTCAAGCAATGCCAATAACCCAATTAAGGGTTTCAAATTGCATAAATATTATACAACCTTTGATTTTCTTTAACGTTTTGTGTACTTTCACACCTATTGAAGGTCTATTTATTGTTTTTTGTTCATCCTAGTAATAATACTAATTATTTATAAATAAATAAAACATGAAAAATTTTGTGAATTTTCGAAATCTTTTAAATTAAAAATATTTAAAATCTAAAAATAATTGTAAACTTTACTGAAAAATCTTTCAACTAATTATCTCAATTATATATACATGAAATATTTAAATATTTTTTTACTTCAAAAAGTATTCTCTTATACTAAAAACTAAAATATTTAACTTGGTGGTGAAATTTTCATTCTCTCCTATAAAGATTTTCTAGATTTATTGTTTCATTGTATATCCGTAATTAGTTAAACATATTTGTAAATAATCTTAAATTATCTTTCTTTTATTTTTTAATACTTATTTTTCTTAACTGATTATTTATATTAATTTTAAAATCTTATATTATAATTTAAGATATAAACTTTTCTTAAAGAGATCATAAAAATTTAAGTAATGCTAAATATTTTGTTTGTATTTACACTTAATTGAAATAGAATAAAAAATAATATGTTAATAATTAAAAATTTTAGAAAATAAAAATAATAGAAATAATAAATATTATATATACAAACTAAAATTAATTTTTCAATTATAAAGACTAAAAAAATAATGCTTATGAAATTATATAGATCAACGAAAAAATTAAACTATTATAAGTAATATAAGTTTAGACTTGCTAGTGTGTAATTTTTTTTCTATTATTATGTTATAAATGTGAAACGTCTAATAATTTTTTTAATTATTAAATTTAATCGATCAATATAATTAATTATATCTAATGGATTTCTGTTTTCAATTATTTTTTTTTATTTTCTTATTTAAAGACTTCAATATGAAACTTTCTTTAAAGGACTTAAGTTTTGTGTGGCTTAAACTAATGTAAATGTTATGTTGGTAATTTGTATGTAGTGTAATAAAAAATAAGTTATAATCAAAATAATTCTATTAAAGTATCGTTTTCACGAATAAAAATCTAAAATCTAGCATTTTTTTTTTCAAAATGATTACTTTATTTTAAACTATTGGTTAAGAATCTTAAAATTGATTAGGAAGAAATGCATTAATGTAAAATTGGCTAGATTTATGGACATATTAATTTGGACTAAAAAATATTAATGGTGCAATTTAATAGTTCATCTGAATAAAAAAAATCATTATTGTAAATCAATTTTAACAAGACTCAATAATAATATATATATATATATATATATATTTGAATTCATCATATGTTTTAATATAATTGTTATAAATTTGAATTGTTAAATAGGTGATAAATCTAGTGATAAAGTTGTAATGATAATGATGCAACAGTGAAAATGATAATAATGTGGTAATGGTTATAATAAAAGTGATGATATGATAATGGTAGCAAAATTATAATATAATAATTTTGTTTGTAATATTCTTATTTTAATATAAGAGTTCTTATAAAGGATTTTTATTTAATTAAGTCACCATCTATATACTTATTGTAACGACCCGGCTGATCACTACACACTGCACAACACATTAGAAACACCACACAAAAAGGAACAAGTGTATACATATAGGGTATAGAATATATACATATACATGATCCAAATTTGGATAGAGTTAAAGTGTACAGAATATATCAAAAGTTACTACACTAAGTAGCTAAACATCAAAAGATCCTAGAAGATCCACTCCATCTGCCAGCTGTAGATTCACCATCAGCCACCTACCTATCCCTGCTCTACTCTCATACGTAGTATGATCATCACAGTCTAAACATCATGGAGACAACAAAGGGTAAGATAGTGTAAAGAAACAACATACATATATAGCAATATGACAGTAAACAGCTACAACTATCAGCACACCAACACAGCTTATACCACCCCACAACATTCAACAATATCAGCACCGCAAAGCCCCAATATCAGCACTGCATAGCAGCAATTTCAGCCCCACTCTAGTGGCTATAACAGCACCGCCTTAGCGGCTATAACAGCACCACAATAGTGGCTAATAAAAACACCGACATAGCGGTTAGAACAACACCACAATAGTGGCTAATAACAACACCGACATAGCGGCTAGAACAGCACCACAATAGTGGCTAATAACAGCACCGACATAGCGACTAGAACAACACCACAATATCTAGAGCATACACAGCATACAACTTAGCTAACACAACACAACCAAACAGCTCACAACACAGCACAACAAATCAGCATACAGCACGGCTAAGTAGTATTCAACACAACTTACTGCTCACAACTCAGCTCATCATTCTAGAGCACAGCAATAATATAATTTTAGCATTTAAAATCATCAATAACAGCCCAACTCAACACAACAATATCTAACAACTACAGCTCAGCTCAGCATAAAACAACCTCTCTAAGAAATTTCAGCAAAGTTTAACAGCTAATAGCACATCAAGTCAACGTCCTCCTACGTGCCCGACGCACCCATGGGGCCAACGCGCCCAGCGCAAGAGTTCCCGCGCTCGGCGTGCCTCAGCCAGAGAGCCCAAGGCTCTCACGCGCCTGGCGCAATTCAGATTGCGCCCAACGCATACCAGGTAGAGACTCCAAGGAGTCTCACGCGCCCGGCGTGGCCTAACCCGCGCCCAGCGTGGGGAAGGCAGAGACCTACCAAGGTCTCGCGCCCGGCGCAATTCGCATTGTGCCCAGCGCCCTCTTGGCAGAGACTCCAAAGGAGCCTCCGCGCCCAGCGAGTCCAAACGCGCGCCCAACGTGGCACCAGAACATCCAAAACAGATCACCATTGATATCGCGCCCGGCGCAGCTCAAGTCACGCCCGGCGGGGCCAACCAAAGACTCCCATTCTCAAGCTCACCCGGAGCACACACCTTTGCGCCCGACGGGCTTGCCTAAATAGAGCCTCCCGGTGGTCACGCGCCCGACACGAAGAACAGCGCCCAGCGCGAAGCTTAGCAACAACACCCTATTTTCGAAAAACTTCACCAAATCCTGCAAAAACAGCCAAAAAACCAACATTCAACCCAGCCAAGAGTTCCCATTTTCATCAACCATCCCAAAAATCCCAACTTTACCCACATGCAGCCACAATCAAGAAAACCTCAAGATTTTCGCCAAAACCCCGGAAACCCCGAAAACCCGTTTTCATCAAAACAACTCAATATTATACAAGACGACTTAAATATCATGATTCAGCATGAACATCCCACAGCACAACTCATCATTAATCTGCTCAACAACGAAATTCAGTATTAGCATCATACAGTACGACTCAGCGTTACATCATTAACAGCATAAACAACATACTTCACAACTCGACTTTTCATCATACAGCATTTACAATATTAATCAACATAATCAACCACTTTACAACATAAACATGTCCACACCTATAGCAACTTATCAACTTAACTTCAACTAGCTTCCCTTACCTGAAAATTGGATCAGGATAGCCAAGAAGCGGAATCCCCTTTCCAAAGCTCAGCCCGGAACTTCAATCCTTCAAAAGTCAGCTTTCCAGTCCAGAGCCCTTCTCTTTAGAACTTCTCTCTAAAAAAAACCTCCTCCCCTCAACTGCCCACAACGCCTATTTATAGACATTTCGGAGTGACCAGAACGGCCTGTACCAAAACCGGAACGGCCCGTTCTGCACCTCCTCAACACGTACAAAAATTACATGCAGAACGGTCCTTTCTGAAATCAGAACGGCCCGTTCTAGAACTCATCCAGAACGGCCCGTTCTTCAACCATAACGGCCCGTTCTCCCTCCAAAACGGCCCGTTCTCAGCTACTCCGATCTGAGAGACCCAAAACATTTTTGAGTTAAATTGAGTCAGCTTGATTTATATTCAAGCATTCCAATATTGATCAAAGATAAATAATCGACCATTTATGACTTAGGAAGTATTTAGAAGAGTACGTACATAATTTATTTAAACTTGTGAAAAGGATTTGTAATTTATTTTTGTGACGTGAAAACAACTACAAGATTATTAGAAATAGAAGGTTAAGGGAGGGAAAATAGGAGCTCCACATAACATGTCTGGCTAAAAATGGGAGGAACTGAATCGTTATCGTTAGCTATGTATAAATAAGTGGTTGAGATGAAAATTAAAAGACAAATAATGTGGTAATTACAATTTAGTCCCGAGAAAAGGGTGTGTCGGCAAATACATTTTACCTTTAATTATCCTCTCACTCCAAGCGTGGCTCATCTTTTCTATCACTGCAAATTCAATCACGCAATTTTATTTATTAATATTAGAGGAAAAGATACTACTTCCATTAAAATTAGATAAATAGTATCAATTGAGTAATTAACTTTTTGTGTATATGTATTATTTTTTATTTATATTGATAGAAACAAAATGAATATAACAAAATATATAAATGTCTTTGACAAAAATACGAAACAAAAGTACTTTTAGAATTTGAAGGTTAGGGCGTTCAAAACCTGAACGTCAACGCTGTACACCAACCCATTTGAAAGAACACCTTGACTGTAAGGCACTCATTGCAGAAGGACTGCTTAGCAAATTATTAAATAATTAAACATAGAAAAAAGATGTATTAAACTAGTAATAATATACTATAACCAATCAATTTAGTATAGCTAGTAGACTTGTAATAATCTTTAAAGTATTTATCATGGGAGTTGTTTATAAGCAAATTTTATCCACTTTAAATGGATTTCATACTGTCATGTCACTCATAAGCAACTTATATTACATTTTTATAATTTTTACTCCAATGAAAGTTGCTTATAAGCACTTTCACCTTTTAATCACTCATATTTTATTTTTTAAAAATTTTAATTATTATAGTTGTTAGCGTCAGTGAAGGAAGGAAATATTAAATTATTTTTTTATTCATAAGTAACAGTCTCTTATATAAGTAATGCTGTTTAAATTTTAGCAATTTGACCTACCATGTCAGCATGCTCCAATGCAAGTTTCTTATAAGCAATGAGAGCTTAAACTTAAGAACCGGATAAGAACCTAG